GTGTGTGTGTGTGTGTGTGTGTGTGTGTGTGTGTGTGTGTGTGTGTGTGTGTATGTGTGTGTGTAGTGGGTGGGCAATCGGGGCATGGGGTTGGACAGAAGGGGATGAGGCGTGCGGATTGGGGAAATGACGGAATGGCGATGAGTGCTAATGATTTATTTGTAGATGGTATATGCCACAAACGGCAAATGGTGGGGGTTAGGGCGTGTCTGCGACATACCCCATTCCGGCCCTATCCCTCATGCTAAGCAGTGAAGAGGTTAATTTGTGAATAATTTAGGTGCTTTGAAATAATAAGTATTATTACCCTACACCCACACCTAGCGGGCAAAGGAGATGCAAGTGGTTTGACTCAGTGGGCAAAAATACAAACGAACACACTTCTTACACTGAAACATAATTTTTACAATCAAACTGGTAAAAGCTCAGAAATTCTTGGCCCGTCGAATATCATTTTCAATGAACACTTAACTAAACCAAACCCTCTATAGTTCATCATAATGAAACAACGGGTTGTTTAACCATAAATGGAAGAAGTCTGTCCACCTGAGAAAGTTGGCGAAATATTTGCTGTAAGATTAATGTTTTCATGATAAGGTTAGTAGGCTTGCAAAGAATCAGAAAGTAGAATATCATCTATTCAGTTTTAAATAGTTATAATTCAATTGTAGTTGCTTTTTTTTTGGGGGGGGGGGTGTTTGGGGGTTTTTTTTCTTGTTTGTTTGGTTTGCTACGGTTGTTGTTTTGTTTTGTGTTTTGTTTGTTTTTCCCCTTGTTTTGGGGTTGTCTTTTAGGTTTAGCGTTATGAGAGAGTTTGGAGCATTATTTTGAAAATCTTCATAGGTGCTCCTGTTCAGATACGTAATCACTTCACTTTCAAAACTGTCTAGATCTTTATCACAACACAGAGATCAAATTCTAGCTCAGCCTCACCGAAAATGTCGCTGGGAAAAACAACGCTCCGTCAGTCAATGAAACCGCCGGTTGTTAAAGCGATAATTATCAACGATGGCGCCAAAGTCGCAATTTGGCGCCATCGCTCGCCTTCATCACGCATTATAAAACAGGAGATTACAGACAAAACAGCATGTTACCAGAACATTGAATATTTAGTAGCTTTTCTAGCCCACCGCTTGAATCTCAGATTACGTAAAGAGATTTTAATAAAAGCAAAAACTTGTAGCATTTTTCTTCATAAGAGTTGTAATGAAACAATAATTACCCCTTGGTACATCAGTTTTGATTCATTTAGGGTTATTTGTAGTTG